GGCCTCACCACCTCACAGGCCCCCACACAGGCTGAGTACCTCTGACATGGTAAGAGCCACCATTTCTTGCAAATTTTCATGGGTTGACCATTCATATACTTTATTTCATGGTGGCCATGAAGTAGGTACTATTGTTGCCACATCCAGTTTGCAGATGAGGAAAATGAGGCTTACAGCCAGTATCTTGCCTAAAATTACACTGTGCACCAATGTATCTCCTAGCTTGGTCCTATGAAAAGGCTTAGAAGCAGTGACACCCAAGTGCAATGAGCACCTCTAGCCTCCAGATCTTGGTTTCTAAATACCAAACCAAAAACCCATTGCCATTGAGTCCATTCCAACTCATAGCAACCCCCACTGGGTTTCCAAGGCTGCTAATCTTTACAGAAGCAGACTGCCTCATCTTCCTCCCACAGAGCAGCTTGTGGGTTTGAACCACCAGCCTTCTGGTTACCAGCCAAATGCCTTACCCACTGCACCACCAGAGCTTTCAAATACCATTCTCTAGTAAAAGGAAGCAGGGATCTTTGGAGAAAAACCAAAAACCAAACCCACTGCTGACTCATAGCGACCCCTCCTTGGGTTTCTGAGGCAGTATCTCTATGGAAGTGGATTGCTCAATCTTCCTTCCAAGGAGTGGCTGGTGGGTTTGAACCACCAGCCTTGTGGTTAGCAGTCAAATGCCTTAGGCACTATGCCACCAGAGCTCCTGATTGTAGAACTGTGCTAGGGGAAATAGAAGATGAGGCTGGATCTCTTGTAACGCCAGAAAGTTAGACAGTGCTCAACAAACAAAATGATGGGGATATGTCAAAGGGATGCAGGTGTCAACTGACTGAGCTTCCAACAGCCAGAGCTGGGACAGCTGGAGCAATAAAATAAATAACATAGTCCTGGGTGAGAAGCAAAGTACAGAATAAACACGTATGGGTTCAGAAGGACATAAATGACTGGCCAAATAAATGAGGGAGAAAGTGGTAAATCTTCCCTACAGAAACATTCCAATACTTCCCATCCAGATGATTAAGTCTGTCCTGGAAGAGGTACAGCCTGAATGCTCCTTGGAAGTGAGAGTGGCCAGACTTTGTCTCACCTACTTTGGTCCTTCGGTCAGAAGGGACCAGTCCCTGGAGAAAGATATCATGCTTGGTTGAATCAGTGAGAAAAGGGAAGATCCACAACAAGATGGACTGACACAGTGGCGGCATCAATTGGCTCAAGCACAGCAAGGATTGTGAGGATGGCGCAGGACCAGGCAGTGTACTGTTCTGTTGCAACAGGGTCACTGAGTTGGAGCTGACTCAAAGGCACCTAACAACAACTACATTCCCCATCCAAGCGGTGAAGCTAGTCGCCTTCCCACTTGAGGGTGGGCTAGACTTAGTGACTCCTTCCAAAGAACCCACCCACGGCCATCGAGTTGATTCTGACTCATAGGGCCCCTATCAGGTTTCCAAGGCTATAAATTTTTAGGGAAGACTACTTCATTTTTCTCCCATGCAGCAGCTGCTGAGTTTGAACGGCCAAACTTTTGGTTAGCAGCCCAATGTCTTAACCATAGTGCCACCAGAGCTCCTTTCCAAAGAACAGAGTAAGAAAGAGGGAAAACAGTAACTATAACAGAAAAATCTGGCAGACACCACCTTAACTAAGAGATCAAGAGTAACATCACCAGAAATAAAATGTGTATGAGCTGCTGTATGGAAAATGAATTTGCTCTGTAAACCTTCACCCAAATCACAGTAAAAATT